TATCTCATGTTTCTTGCAACCCCCCCCCCCCCCTCTCTACTATCTCATGTTCCTTGTATTCCCCTCTCTACTATCTCATGTTTCTTGTAATATCCTCTCTACTATCTCATGTTTCTTGTATTCCCCTCTCTACTATCTCATGTTCCTTGTATTCCCTCTATCTACTATCTCATGTTCCTTGTGTTCCCTCTGTTCCTTGTAATCCTCTCTCCACTATCTCATGTTCATTGTATTCCCTCTGTTCCTTGTAATCCTCTGTTCCTTGTAATCCTCTCTCTACTATCTCATGTTCCTTGTATTCCTTCTCTCTTTACTATCTCATGTTCCTTAAAATCCTCTCTCTATACTCATATTTATATCTCACGTGTCTGGTAATCTCCTTTATCTTCTATCTCCTCTCTCTACTATCTCATGTTCCTTGCTATACCCTCTCTCTACTATCTAGATGTTCCTCGCTATAACCTCTATCTACTATCTCATGTTTCTTGCAATACCCTCTCTCTACTATCTAATGTTCCTTGCTACAACCCTCTATCTACTATATCACTTGGGAACAATCATGATTTCTTCTGCGTCCTCCTCTTCAATTTTAGATGAACATTTACTTATAAAACTGAATGGTGGAAAAGCAAAGAATAAAAATCACTCCAACAATGGTTAAACGCGTCAACAACTGATGGCCCAGGATCAGGTTTCCAAGAGATGTACTTTTAAATGCGGAAATTTAACCTAGAGGCAAATAAATCAATTACTGGCTCTCCAAAAATAAGACATATTTGGTCAAAATATGTCTGTCTTAGACACCACTCTGCACTAGCATTCTTATCTCCCAGTCGACTTTGATAGTCAGCTTCAATATTGAGCTTTCCTGGTAAATAAAAAGCGCTTAGCCAGATGTTTCTGGCAATACACCACAGCCATATTTGCCTTGTTATATCATTACATTGTTAAGTTCTGTCACCCATGTTATTAATATAAATTACAGAAGTAGTGTTGTCTAACTCAATTCTGATATGTATGTCATGCATATCACTGCAGAAGGTTTGCAAAGCCAAGCTGCAGTCAATTCTAGTACATTTATGTGCCCCTCTGATTCTCTGACAGACCAAATGCCACCAGATGAGGAATCATAGGACCCCATCCATCGTTAGATGCATTACTTTGTAGTGTATGTATTGGATTGTCATTAGAAATGAGTTTATAAGATGTTGTAATATTCTTTATACACCACTTCAAATCTTATTTACCTTGTTCTGAAATATTGATTACGGCATCAAAATTGCCTTTAAACTTTTTTTTAACAAATATAACTTCTCATTATCCAATATCCTGTAATATAGAACACCAGGAAAACTAGCTACAAATAATCCAATAACCTCTGTCAATTCTCGTATTGTTTGTCTGGATTTATTAAGGAAAGCAGAGCAAGCTTCTTGTAATTTTAAAGATTTATCATTTTTGAATTCAAAACAAACCCTAAATATGCAATTTCCTGAACAGGTTTGGCAATAGGTTTGTTGGGGTGGATAGTAAATCCAGCATTCTTAAACATGTGTATGGAAGCAATAATAATCTGTTCGCATTCGGTGTATGTGTCACCGGAAATAAATGAATCATCAAGATAGACTACAAAGCCACTAAGCTGAAATTTTGCAGACATATCCACATATTTTATTGATGAAACAAAATTACAACAAGAAGTAATAAGTTTAAAAAGTTTTATTGAAGAACAACTTCTAAATGTAGTAGATAAAACTCAATTACAAACTTTAAGTTCATTAATATCTAATTTAGATGATAAAAAAATAGATCTTAAACAACTAATAGCGAATATTAATTCAGGTATAAGTGAAGATAAATCTTGTTTTCTTCACTAAATCGATTTCCAAATTCTTTAACTGTCCCTAATATATCTACTACTCCCGAACCTCGAGCTATTTTTTCCATTTCCATATTATGTCTACGTTTTCAGTTGCTTTGTTGGCGTTGATGGCTCGTGTTATCCCAGCCGCCCCACCAGCCGTCGCCTCTGCTGCGGTCAGACCAGCAAATATCAACGGTAGGAAAGGTAAAAATCCACCTTCTTTTGCTTTCGCGTCAATTCTTTCCAAGTCTATATCATCACGGACTTTACAATGTGTATATCTATTAATAAGTTTTTTTTTTAGATATTTTAATCTTTTTACCATTGTAAGTTATTGTGCTTGGTGATTCCGTTTCGATAGCTTCTATTATTCTTTTTACTAAAGTTTCTGGTTTCATTTGTAAGAGGATAATTTAAATGATTATTCTCTACGAATCATCCGTCTGTCGGATATTTTAATTAAATGTTTTGCTTCTTCCAATAATAAACAATAACCAGTCACATCTCCTTGTGTTTTTTTCATTATAAATATTTATATTAACTCATGTTTTGAAAAGATCTTCTTGATGAGCTGATAGATCAAAACAGAAGATTGGGTGATTAATTGCAAAATCTACATATTCAAACTGAGGTGGATTTCCAAATAATTCACACATATTTTAGTTTCTATACAATTCATTATAATCCTTCGTGGATGGATTAATTGTTAATGGTTGGTAAGGATAACTATCATTGTTTAATCTTACTTGAACTTTACGGATTATAGGATCTTGAGTTTGATTCATTGCTAATCTAAAGATATTATTGTTTTTCGTTTGAGAATCTGGTAAGTTCTAGAAACCAACCATTAAATATCTTGCTGGTTTAATAGAGTTAGTGATTGGCCATGTAATGGATTCTCCAGTTAAAGTCATGCTACCTACCGTGTTACGACGAAGAAAGGCTATTTCAAGATCTTTTGTTAATGAGTTGAATATTCTCGTTTCTACTTCAATTGATGGTGTTATTACGGGTATGTAAAGTTGGAGATTCGTTATTTCTAATTTTGCATCTGAAGCATTCTCTCCAAAGAATATCTTATCATCACTGATTTCTCTTTGTAGATGAATTTTATATGGTAACCCTATGGAAACTTTTCTGTGTTCCAACAGACCGAATAATGGATATAACTTCCAATTTACGTAATTATCCCACCTATTATTCTCAACAACATTGTTATACTGAAGTACTCGTTTTTCGAATCCATGATTAGCTGCTCGTCCCACTCTTTCTATTGTGTTTCGAGCAATAGCTCTCATTCTATCTTCATTTGCATCATTTGGGACATTTCTTACCTGTTCTCTTAAAACACTTCCATCACGAACATCGGGTATCCAACCTGAGACTGAATCGTACTTTTTGGGATATAGAACTGTTTTCATCATTGTGTCAAATTCTCCGGGATGTTTGATGGTTTCTATAGGATTTGAACTAGCTTCCAAAACCATTTCAGTAAATAAAGATGGGGAGAAATTGTTTTCTAACGTTGTGTTTGTTTGTGGGGGTTGATGAGTCTGATTAGGAGTTCCGTCTTTGATTTTGAAATCGCATCTGAAATAGGCATCAGACAGAAGCAACTGATTCGATAATGAATTAATCTCGAAAGTGACCCTACCCCAATCATTTAGTTGGGATCTAGAGCCTACGGTTGGTGATATGATAATGTATTCCTCTTTTTTCTTATTAAACGAATAACGAATTGGATCATATAATTGAAAGATCGGATCTAATCTGTAATTTTTTTCTGTCATTTTTAAAGATAGGTTTTACCCTATTATTTGAAACCATTTACCCCATGGAAATCCAGGAAGATTATCAAAAACCAAAGTAAGTTTTAGCTTTTTATAAATACATTGTTAACAAAATAAATTTTTGATACAAAAAATTTAAAACATAAACTCTTCTACTAGGATTGGTAATTTTCACCTCACGACCGCTCCTAGAGAATCGGTAAATATACTTCAATGTTATCTCCCCTCTTACACAATCGGTAGATATACTTTAGGGTCATGACCACTCCTTCAGAATCGGTAGACATAGTTCAGGGTCATGACCGCTTCTAGAGAATCGGTAGACATAGTTCAGGGGTCACGACCGCTCCTTGAGAATCGGTAGATATACTTCAGGGTTATCTCCCCTCTTACACAAACAGTAGATATACTTTAGGGTCATGACCGCTTCTAGAGAATCGGTAGATATACTTCAGAGTTATCTCCCCTCTTACACTATTGGCATACATAGTTTAGGGTCATGACCGCTCCTAGAGAATCGGTTTATATACTTCAGAGTTATCGCCCCTCTTACACTATTGGCAGACATAGTTTAGGGTCATGGCCGCTCCTAAAGAATCGGTAGATATACTTCAGGGTTATCTCCCCTCTTACGCAGTCAGTAGATATACTTTAGGGTCATGACCGTTCCTAGAGAATCAGTAGATTATATCCTTTTCCAAAACGCTTGATCTTCACCACTTGTTCTATTTTCGAAATCTGTATCATCAATTTTGAAACCTCGGATATTTGTCACAGAGTTTGACAAAATTCTTGACCTCTTTGTATCCTCAACTGCCTGTGATGGTTTAAATATTCTTCGTGATATGAAATGTTGGCATCTATTAAACTTGTGTCTGAAATAAAACAAAATTGATATTTTGAAAAACAACAAATAATCTTAATTCCACCCTGTCGTCTTATGATTAAATTAAACAAAGAACATACCTTGATTTTGTATATTGAATTCCTAATCTTACAGCATAACCAAATTGCTACAGTGTTAATAGTTGAGAGTTTAGACTGTCTATGCTGACGTTGCATGGGCGGAATGTTATATGTTAATATAACCATCTGTTACTTAGTGACGTATATCAAGTCAACAATAGTCTAGACGACTGATTGTTACCAGGCGTTAAAGGTATTTATTAAATCTATAATACTCTAGAAAACTAACTTTGTATAAAGTGGTTGGTATTTTACTTTGAAGTAAACCAAAAACAGTGTTACCTCCCATTAATCTGTTAAAAAAGTTTTTAGTTTTTTTGAATTCTTTGTGTTTTTCATCTTTGCTTGTAACAGTTTTATAATTAGTGCTCTTTGCATTATCTCTATGAAAGTTGGATTTGGAATATTTTCAAGTTCGATTATCATTTGTTTGTCTACTTCGTGTCTGGATGTTATGTCTTTAAACTGTAGTTTTCAAGCAAAAACCAGGGGCTGCCCCCAATCTATATACCCATACACTACTCATTAACATATGGGCTAGTTAGACATTTAGAAAAAACTGAGCTAAAAAATCTCCCATTGAAAAAAAAGTCAGCCCAGGAAAAGTTGCCGATAATCTGCTCTTATAGGCCTATGGGAGCGTAACCGAGCTACTTTGTGCGTTTACAAAGCTACAAAGCTAAATTTTTGCACACATATGCACATGGGCTAGCTAGACATTTAGAAAAATACCGAGCTCAAAAATCTCCCATTGGAAAAAAGTTAGCTCAGGAAAAGTTGCCGATAATCTGCTCTTATAGGCCATACGAAGGGTAAACGTCCGATACCGAACTTTGCGAAATACACCAATTTGGCCCATGTTTTTGACTTTTCCTACTAATTAGAGTCAAGGACAAGGAATATCACTTAAAAGCTAATTAAAAACAATTAGGGACAAAAATGGATATTTTTTTGTTACAATGTACGACAAAAACTTGGGCGAAATCGGTTTATTTCGCAAAGTTAGGGTATTTTGTGTTTTCGGTCTCTATGGCTTATAGAGCAGAATACCGGGAACATTTCCTGGGCTAACTTTTCCCTATGGGAGATTTTTGAGCTCTGTTTTTTTCTAAATGTCGACATGGTCCATGTGGATATGCTTGCCAAATTTCAGCTCTGTAGCTTTGTAACTCTTCGAGATACAAATGTATTTGGATTTGAGCACTTTTCCTGCAGTCGTCCCTTGTAACTATAAAATTTGGATTTTTTTTTTCTAATTGTTTTCAATTAGGTTTTAAGCTTTTTCCCATGTGCCTGGGTTCCAATTAGTAGGAAAAGTCCAAAAACATGGGCCAAATCGGTTTATTTGGCAAAGTTAGGGTATTTGGCATTTTCGGTCTCTATGGACTATGAACAGAATATCGGGAACATTTCCTGGGCTAACTTTTTCCCTATTGGAGATTTTTGAGCTATGTTTTTTTTTCTAACTGTCGACATGGTCCATGTGGATATACTTGCCAAATCTCAGCTCTGTAGCTTTATAACTCTTCGAGATACAAATGTATTTGGATTTGAGCACTGTTCCTGCAGGCGTATCTTGTAACCATAAAATTTGCATTTTTTGTCTAATTGTTTTCAATTGGGTTTTAAGCTTTTTTCCATGTGCCTGGGGTCCAATTAGTAGGAAAAGTCCAAAACATGGGCCAAATCAGTTTATTTCGCAAAGCTAGGTATCGGACCTTCACCCTTGGTATGGCTTAAAAGAGCAGATAATAAGCAACTTTTCATGTGCTAACTTTTTTCCTATGGGAGATTTTTGAGCTGGGTTTTTTTCTAAATGCTTAGCTAGCCCATGTACATATGCGTGCAAAATTTCAGCTTTGTAGCTTTGTAACTTTTTAAAATAAAAATTTATTTGGATTTGAGCGCTTATCGTGCAATCGTCCATTGTAACAAAAAAATATCCATTTTTTGCTCTAATTGTTTTTAATTAGATTTTAAGTTATATACCATGTACCTGGACCCTAATTAGAAGGAAAAGTCCCAAACATGGGCCAAATCGACGTATTTCGCAAAGTTAGGTACCGGACGTTCACCCTGGGTATGGCTTAAAAGAGCAGATAATAAGCAACTTTTCCTGCGCTAACTTTTTTCCTACAAAGCTAAAATTTTGCACGCATATGCACATGGGCTAGCTAGACATTTCGAAAAAAAACGAGCTCAAAAATCTTCCATAGGAAAAAAGTTAGCAGAGGAAAAGTT